TCCCCTGCTTCCTCTTTCTCTAAAACCAATAAACATAGCCTCAGATGAGGATTAAAAAGGAAGAAGAAAAGAATCTAGAAGAGAACAATAGTTTCCAAAGGAAAGGGACTCAAAAGGGGTGTTTTAATTTTTTTCTTTTTAAGTCAATGACTTTATAATTCTTACCATTTTAAAGTCTACCATCTCCTTTCCTGATGCGCAGCATCATTTTAATTTTTCAGAAGTAGTTTTAAACGTAGTGCTTGGGAAATAAGCAGGTTTTATTTTTCACGATTATGATAATTGTGTTTATAAGTTAGCTCTTTGGGACATTTTCTGCTTCTGGATTTGTACAGAACAGCCTTCAAAATGTGACTTAGGAAAATTCAAAGTTTTGCCTGTCAACTAGAGGGTGATTTGTGTTCGTAAAGGGGTCCCTTAAAATATGAAGCTTCTTAGCAGTTAAGTGTACACTAACCATTTAGCCACATAACAGAGGGTGAAGAAAAACGAAGTTAACTTGTTAGAAGTTACTGTGATGGTCACATGTGAATGGCAGCAGGAAAGCAGATTTCAAAAAATTAAAATTTTAGTTCATGGCACTTCTTCTAGGAACAACTTTCTCATATAAATAGCAGGATTCCTACATTGTGTACACTGCAATCAATGGCCCCTTTGTGCGCTGGGTGATGGTCTCTCGAAGTCCCCAACTCCTGCTCCTAAAGTGACCTGAGCAAGAGGGAGCTCTGAGAACAGCTTCGGGACAACCCCACCCCAGCTCTGAACTATCTGCCGTCAAGGGTGCGGCAGTTGCATAATTAACCACAATAGCTGCAAATAATATACTGAAAACAAAAACCCTGTTGGTGTTTAGCTGAACAACAACAAAAAAATGGTGTAAATTATAGCTACATGTATAATAAAATTTCTTATTTGCATTTCACATAAAATTTACCACACTCCTTATTGACTCATTACTTACCCATTATGGGTTTTTTTAAATGGTACTTTTAAAGTTTGCTTTGGCACGGGGTGAATTATTTGCTAAGACTTTATTCCTGGAGTCACAGCTCCTCTGGGGCTTCTTTACCTTTTGGCAAATTCATAGCTCATTTTGTGGGTGGTAGTGGTTTGTGGCCTGTATGTATGCATGTGTGGTCATATGTGGGAAATCGTCTTAGGATATCCTAAATGGTGGACTATTTCATAAGGAAGGGCCCTATATCCCAGGGCAAGAAAACAGGAGGAAAAAAGCAAAAAATGAGTAAAGAACAGTAATAGCAACAAAAATTAGGGTACTCCCTTGCAATTATGCATGTGCTTGAATAATGCTTGGTTTAATAGGTGGAAGAAATATGTACTACCAAAAATTCATTGAATGGGTGCATGCCAAGGGGCACAAATACAAAAGTGCAGGAAAAGGTAATGCTGAGGCAAAGCTGTTCCTGAGAATAAAAATCTCAATGAGCTTTAATGAGCCACTAAATGCAATGTTGGATACAGATGAGCAGAGGAAAGTATTTTTTGCACGTACACTTTCAGTAAGAAAATGAGGTCTTGTGACCAACATTAGTATTTCAGGGGAAGAGCTGGGGGTGTAAGGCAAGGTAGCTGTAGACATTTACCAGTTCCGAGAGGCCAGTGAAAACTCCCCCTGCCCCAAATCTCCACCCGCTCCCTACCAGATACTAGCTTGAAATGTCTTCTAAGGTAGTCTCTAGCACGCTCAAGAATAAAGGTGAAGAGTGTTTCAGAAATATAATACACAGTTTTTCAGAATATTAAAAAAGTAGTTTCTAGATTTACAGAGATTTCAAGTTAGAAGAGATCATCATAAACATTTAGTTCCTGCTTCCTCTCAATGCGTACATTTCAGAGACATGATGCGTCATTGGGCTCCCCAGGTAATAATAGGAAGTGACTAATGATCGTGTGGCAAATTAATGGCATAAAAATGCTGGTTTCCAACTCTCTATCTGGAGGTCTGCCTCCCACTGCGGCGCACTCGCTGCCGGTACTCAGGTGGGTCGGGAAAAGGAGGGTCTGGTACGTTTCACTGGAGGAGGCGTTCCAGCAGGAGGCGCGGTGTGAGGACTGGGCGGGTCGTGGAAAGGTGATCTGGGGAGTGGGGCATGCTGCACTTGTTCTTGGACACAGAAATTTGCTACTGTGCCTAATATTGGATTAAATGACAAGGGAAGTTTAATGCCAGCAATATACCATCATACAGTAGCTTGCTCTTCCACTGCATATAGTTAATCTTCAGGTGACGCGCATCACCAGTGAAATCCCAAGTCTCTTCTACGCAAACACAGCACCAAGCCCTGACACTAGCTTGGTGGCAGGGTTTATCGTTCACTCACGAGGCACAAGAACACTGCGCGCTTTTATAAAGTCATTTGTGTGTTTGGAGATCGTTCTAGGTTTCATGAGGGGCAGTTTGCTATGCTGCTATGGAGCTGCATTGACCAATTTTGCATCAGGCTAATGTTAATTCATGAAGCCACACTAGGCAGAGCAAGATGGACCTCAAGTGGCTTAAGGTAGTTTTCAATACTTCCATTTCTTTTAGAAGTCAATCTGTCCCTTTGAAAATACTAGTATTGATACTTTATTTTTTCTAATGCCTGCTTTATTGGGCTTCAAATATGTCTAAAAATCAAGCGGGTGAAATTTCTTCTGATAGGATCCAAACTATTGTCTTCTTTTTCCTCATCATTATAAGCCATCGGGTTTGCATGTGAGTTTTATTTTTGAGGCGGGCTGTGTGCTAGTCATGTTGCCGCCTCCTGACGTTCAGTGTTGTTGGGATTTATTGGATTTCTGGGAATATTGTAATTAAAAAATGATAATGTTGAGCATAGTTAATTGGGTGTCAAAACAAAATAATCATACTGCTTCTCATTTTAACTACAATAGGAGAATTGAATTAATTTGCTTATTTTACCATAATAATACGTGGTTCCAACAGTTGAAAAACTAAAACCCTCAGCAGACAGAGGACAATTATAAAAAAATTCTTACTTCATAAGAAAATCCAGGCTATTAATCAATTTGTTTAACTGGCTGAGCAGTAATAAACATAATGTGCTAACATTTCTTAGCAAATAGATTTTTGTAAACAAGCTGCTTCCCCAAATATTTTATGAGCCGCCATTAACTTTCAGAGATGTTGTTGTTTTAGGTTGGAAATGCCGGTGATCCATCTCACAAAGCAGCTGGAATGAAGAGACCCCTGAAATCGCTCAATGAGAAGGACTGAAAAGGGTCCTGTGAAGTCATGACCCTTTAAAGGTGTTGGTTTACAGAGTGTGAAGTGGGCAATTCACCAGCTGCACCCAGGAAGGAGCGCTGCAAATGCCTGCGACTAGGAATCCAAGGACGGGTCATTTTAAAGGAGGGCATTGCCACTGCGGACCCCCGATTTATCTGGCGTGACTTTGGTGGTAGGGAGAAAAATCTCTTTCATTTGCAATATATTTAAGTATTCCAACAGAAGATGATTGCAATGAAAAGCAATTAATTACCCTCTCTGTTGTTTTTTTTTTTGGACCAGTTTTAGGGCTCCAACCTCAAGGACAAATTCACTAAGGACTATGCTCAAAATGTGACGTGCAAAATCCTAAGCGAAGGCCATGCGTTCAGAGCCCGCTGCTTGGTTTCCCGGCCACCAGGTGTGGTGTGTGGAGAGGGAGAGGAGCTTGGCACTACCACGGTCCTGTGAAGCTCACAGAATGGAATGCATTTCACAGGAGTTGAAAGGGTTAAATAAGCAGTAGTAGGGCCACAGCAAATGGGCTGGGTGTCAAGATTTTTAGGATTTTTTTCATATTATTATCGATGATCTGTTTTCTTAAAAATGGTACAACTCTTTCTCTGTTTCAATTTCTCTATATAATGGATGTACTCACTATTCCCAAACAGGTAATGGTGGAAAGATGTGTTGACAAACATTTTTAAAGCTCTCCGATGTCCTTAGAAAGAAAGCAGGCTTTTGAAAAGATTCCCCAAGAAAATATTTAGATACTCAGTAATACTGGGTGAAAATCTCTAAATTTTTCTCACTTTAAATAAAAAACAGGGTTTTTTTTAGGTGAAATATTATTAGTGTATTTTATGTGTATATTCTGCACACACCTTTTCTGTGATTACAGAGTACTGAAGTAAGGCATTTTAGGTCTCGGTGTCGAATGAGATATAGATGCTATAATTGAATAAACCATTTCCCTTAATTTGTAGAATTGCTTTTGACTCCTACTCCAGTTTGAATGACACTCTCATGCATCTGTTCTGCAGGGGTATTGACGAGACCCGTGGGAAGTTGATACCCTTTGTAGAGCGCAGTGGTGACCTGATCAAAATAGCGATCCAGCACAAATGCTTTTTTTCTGATAACCAGGGCCAAATTCAGTCTCTTTCTAAGAATGAACACACACACACTCTCCCTGTTCTCAGAGCTGAGGTTTTTCCTCTACCCCCAACTAATAAAATCAGGAGGCTGCAATGAGGCTGAGCGGCAGGCAGTTTGATGTCCTCAGCAGGATACGAGGAGTCAGAAGTGGCGCTGTAAATCCAGAGCGGGGCTTCAACACTGTGTTAAGTGTGGCCTGAGTCGCAGAGATTTCCCTTTGATGCAAGTTCAGTATATTAATGGGAAAAGCATTCACTTTTATTTGTACTGTCTGCGACAGCACGGCTGCCTCATTTAGCCTGGGCCAACATGAAAATACACAGAGAAGCAATCTGTTGCAAATTAGCACAGCTCCCCTTTCATTTACTAGCTAGTAATTGGAAGGGGTTAAGAAAGTGTAACTTATCAGACCACGTGAGTGTATCTGCTTGTGTGGACAGCAAGCCTCCCCCGAATTTCCCTAAGAGCCCTGAGGCAATAATCCCTCCTCACATCCACTCGGCCTGAAAGACGACACTGACACGTGTGAAATGTGTCCACTTTGTTTGGTTGGAGAAGGCAGTTTCCTAGACTCCCAAAGGGGGTATTCATGACCCTGTTAGAACCTTACCTTTCCTTAGATATGTTTTTACTCTCCCGTTTCCAAATCGTCTTAAAGTCACTGCAGAACTCGTACCACACCATAAACACATAGTTGGGAGTGATCTCCTTCTCCCCAGACTTTGGCTTCATCCCAAAATATCCCACTGTCGTTTCAAAGCTGCAAAAGGCAGGGGGGGAAACAGAGTGAGGTACAGGGTGAGAAGCTGTCAACACCAAAACTCATTAGGGTGAGGAGAGGGGCGCAGGGGCGACTTCCCACTTGTCCATTCTCTGTCTCAGAGTTAAACTGTGGCTTATCCTAAATCCCAGAAAACCTATTTGCTCCAATCCATTTTCCAAGAAATTCAACTCGACTGGGGAATACTCCTGGACATAACGTAGCCATATAAAAACCAGCATGCATAATTCCAGTGGGTGTGTAGGGTAAAAGTTTTTGAGTTTGCTCTTTATCTCAAATCTATGTCATGTACCTGCCCTTCATTTGAAGTTTAATGATGACATGGAACACCGATGACATAATGATTCTGTAACATTAGCAGCGGACAGTTAGAGAGCCCATCAGGAATAATTAATCTGAGCATTTCATGAAAAATTAAGACTGTTCTATCCTTATTCTGGCTTTGTAACCTGGGATCAATCACTCAGCATTTGACTCAATTTTCTCAAGGGTAAAATAAGAGACTGAGCCTCTATGATTTTAAGAAGGCTATGCCTTATAGCTTTATATGATATAAGAATATATCTATGTATATGTGTGTGTGTGTGTGTGTATATATATATATATATATATATATATATATATATATATGTATATGTTGAGGGCATTGCAAGATTTGGATGGAAAATCACCTTTGATCTTATTGGATCATCTCCGGTCTGGTCCACAGTTTTACAAAGCAGATTGTGAGGTACCACTAGGAACCTCCCGGTCTATACCATGGAGGCTCACTGCACACCAGACTGCCTGGGCCTCCCAAGCAGCCCTTCTTGGAGGCACTAGCTTTGCAGCAATTTATAGCTCTGCACTCAATCTTTCCACCCACCCACCCTTACCCACCCCGAGCCCCACAAGCTCATTTGCCATGAGCAAGAACACTTAAATAAATGGCTCCCTTTTCTAGGGTGTTGGAAACTAATCAAAGCAGGCATGGCTGGCCAGGTTTATTACTACTCAACGCTCTATCATCTGTTCAGACACAGCGTTTTTTTGTGACCATCCTGAATACGGAGTTCCTAATGGAACTCCATTCAATGGCGATTGTAAAACCCCGAAACCCAGTTACTATTATGGAGCATACTTTCATCTCATTCTCAGTTATTGGCCAATATGTATCTCATAAGATTTTATCACATTTCACAGATGAACTGTTAATTGATTCCATGGCTATGATTAGGCGAGATCCAAGCTAGAGCTGCAGCTCTGAGTCCCATAAATTCTTTGTGCTTCTGTAAATAATAAATCTGTTTTTAATGCAAATTAAAACTACTGGTCAGGGAATTTTGGTTCCCAGTTATTAAAAGACTGGAAGTGTGTAAGTGGAGAAAGGCAATAACTAGTAATTTCTTAAGGGACTCTCTTCTAATACCAAACATACATATTTGGATGCAAAGCCAGAAGTAGAAGAAAGTAGCAATGTTTACTTTTATCCAGACAGGACTTCTAATTCTGTGGCAGACAAAACACTGATAAAATAATGTATACTCTGTGGCACAGAGTTTTATTTTCTTCCAAATGGAAGTTAAACTTACTGTACCATGGAAATACATAAGTGAAATGCAACTTATAGGAATGGGCCATGATTTTCTCAGAGTCCTGGGGCTGTAGAACTGGAGGAGATTTACAGTTCAACTAGTCCAGTGTTCTCATTGTACAGATGAGAAAACAGAGATCTGGAAAGACTGAGTGTCCCCGTGTACTGGCACATTGGGCCTCTACCTCGGTCTCCTGATTCTCAGAGAAATGCCTTTTCCTCTCTATGTTTCTGTGGCTGAAGCTCACTGACACAGGCACTCAAGAAATAAAAGCTGGTTTTTTTTTCTGTTTCCACCCCAGACACAGTTGCCCCTGTATAATGCACATTACTCCCAGCAGAGCACATCGTTATTTTTCTCTTCCTTATGCTCATCTTCTGTACAGAAACATACTAATTTGTGCATTAATAGAGAGGAGAAAGTCTTTCACTTTGAGTCTTCAGACACAAATGGTCCTCCTACTTTCTAGGAGGATACAAGGAGGAGAGCAAAAGCCCCTGTTACGGTGCCTCTTGGATCACCCGAACACCTCTGGTCTTATTTGGAGTCTGGACTGTGAGACCGAGATATTTCAAATACTGGTGCAGGTTTAGAGAATGACACCAGTATTTGGTGGGTCATCACAGAGCTTGAGAAAAGCATCTCATCATCCTGCAGGTCTCACTCTGCCCCACTCTAAATTGAAGCTAACCATGCACCCCCACTGCCTCTCCCTGTGAGGAGCTGCAAGGTCCTGCTTACTAACCCTCAAAGCGGGTGAAAGCCAAAGGAAAGACAGAATTTCAGCATTTCCCCCCACTGTGTGTTTTGGAAATTAAGAAGGCAAGTGAACCTCTTCAGAAGAACCAAAGTGGACAGAGTCCCAGGGAAGGGACTCTGTCACCCTACATCGGTGACAGAAAGGAAGCTGCTCTGAGGATGTGCCTTATTTGATTTCCATGCTCTTCTCTTGTTCGAGGAAAAGTTAAAAGCTAGTCTGTCTGATAAAGTCTAGATTACTGTCCCCCCCCAAACAAAACTCTCTTCCTTTCAAATTCAATTCTGATTCACTCAACATCAGAAGACTGATGATTGAAAAACTTCTCAAGTTTGAGCATGAAAATTAATCAATATTTAACAGCCAGGAGAATTTCCTCCAATAGACAAAGGGGTGATCATGCTTTTCGAAATACCTATTTTTCAGTGGATGACTCTAAATTAGCTTTCAACTTCTAAAAAGTGATGGATTTCTGATCATGTTATGTTTCACAAAACTTTTTTACTTCACCCTAAACTATTATCCCCTGACTCTTTTTCTCCCTGCTACAAGTCATCGTCTGATTTGCATCTTTTCAATTCAGCTAAACACTTTAAAGTACAGACAACGATTATATCAAAGAGCCCATGGCCGAGTGAATGGTTTTATTTTTACAGTGTTAAGAGGCCAGAGCGGAACTCATCCACTTATTGTTTTACATGCGTGCCTTCAGAAACTGCTTAGGAAAAGCAAATATTCCTTTGCCTCAGAGTAAATTGTTTCTCTTGAGAATAAAACAGAAGAATTTCCTAAATCTCACACAAATATTGCAACACTGACCACCAACCTCCTTAAAGAGTGTAACCAAACAACTGTGGTTTCTACATTAAAGATGGGATCGGACATATTTCATGAATGACATGAAAGCAAGACTACCTTCACCACAAAGTCACGGAAAACGCTGACAACTGGAATTTATGACCCCCTCAGCATGGCTAATGCACAGCAGCAGCTTCGGCCCCTCTAAGGTGGGCCCCCTTTTCCTTACCCAGGAATCTTGAAGAATTAGAAATCTGACATCCACTCCATGCTGACGATTTCTATAACACGCACATACTCCTTTTACACACCAAAGAAGGGAAGCTCACTACAGGGATAAGGCCAATAAAGAGGCACAAAAATCTAAAACCACAACCACAGGCTTGTCTTGGTTTTCAAAGATTATCGTGTGAAGATGCTCATCACGATTCAAGAATATGTCTGCACTTAGAAGAATGCAGGATTTGCCCCAACCTTGCTTTTATCTGCATTTTAATTTTATTGGCAATTACAGTGCAAAGCAGGGCAAGATGTTGGTACCTGTCAAAGTAGAGCAGACGTTACTGTCTCTGGGCTTTCAGAACTCTTGGGAGGAAAGGGGTGCACCTCTAGAGTTTTTTCATTTGCATTTAATGGACTAACTCTTCTCTTCACACACTTGTATAGCTCATTTTTCCAAATATGGTGTTTCCTGTTCTTATCTCTTATTTAATTTCCAGTGCTTTTCGAATTGTACCCACAAAGTTTATCTCAATTCTTTGTGCTGACAATGGGAGTGCCTCGGTATATGCCCTCTCCCCGTTTTAGGAGGGAGGTAGAGCCAGACTGACTAACTTGATCAACTAAGAGAAAAGCCCCTATGAGGGATCACAGCCCGTGACTATTGGCCTCTCTCACTCTGATGTCTGCTCAGGGAGAGAAGAGTCAACAAGAGGTTTGAGGTGGGAGAGGTGACTAGATGACCTCTGAGGTTTCTCACGAATGCTGGGGGACTTTTCCATACATAGTCAGTCCCCTTCCCCCCAGGATATGATCTCAGGAAAGACATAGTAAGCCTCTTAGGGATCTGTAATAACTGGTTTAACCTCACTGTAATACTAAGAAGGATCACATTGTCCCCGACTTCCGCAAAGTGCTTCAGGAGCAGTGATGGAGGAGAGGCAAGCAGACGAAAATAGTGTCACGACATGTGAGGCAGGTGAGTCACTTCTGGATGATCTCCTGCTTTTTTTGTTTGTTTGTTTTTTAAATCTCTTGCTTCTTGAGGAAAACTATTCCCAAGTCCTGTTACAGTGCTTTCATTCCAACTCTCCCCAGATTGTTATTGTTCTTGAGAGCAAAGTCTTAACAAACGGGGCCAGAAGAATGACTAGTGCTAGGACATCATGCTAACTGCAATAAGTAAGTCATAAAAGGACTTTCATAAGTCGGAAAAATACTGTATGATTCCACTCATATGAGGTCACTAGAGTGGTCAAAGTCACAGAGACAGAGAGTGGGAAGGGCTGGGAAAGGAAAAGGGGGAAGTTAGGGTTTAATGGGTCCTGAGGTGCCTTTAGAGAAAATGAAAACTTTCAGGAAATGGTTAGTGGTTGTGGCTGCAGAGCAAGCAGAGTGTACTTAATAATAATAGTAACATTAATAATAATAACAATAAAAATAAATGGCTAGTCAAAGATAGAACTGGGGCCAAGTCAGAGCAGCTTACCTTTCCTGTGCATTCTCCAAGTGACTTTCTTCAATTTTATGCTCTTTTTTGGCTGTAATAGAAAAATAATTATGGTTAAAATAAAATTTTCTTCTACCATATTTTTTTTGCATAATATTCTAACTTTGATTATGCCCATTTGTTACTGAAATAAGTCTAGGTTCAGGAGTTAGCAGCCCCTACCTGGACCCGGAAAAGGCACACAATTCACCACCTCTACCTCTGCTTTCTTGATAACAGGTACAGCTAATGGGGGGCATTTAATTTCCATTCTTGTGGGACACCTGAGAGAGTGAAAGGGGGCAATACAAAATCACACCTGGACAAAGGCATAAATTGGCACAAACCTGGCCGGGTTGGTCCATGAGGTCCCCTGGCTATGGCTGGCCTTTGTGAGCCTCGGTATGGGCTCAGCACTCCCGCCCCCATGAACATAGTAAACTCAGGACTATTTGAAGCTCTACTTAGATTCAAACAGATCCACTAAATCCTTGCACATACTCTCCCTACCTGCAGCCCCATTTGACAATCTGGAAAGGACTATTGTCTCCTTTCTCAGAATGTTTTTTAATGCATTGAAAAAAATACTTAAGATTACTAAGGACATCAGTGAAACTGAGATACAGTTCTGAATGTGCAGTTTAGGAACCTGTACTTTGTAGTGTTTATTTAATTTGGAGTGGGGTGGTTATTTTACATATTCTTTTTTCTCATCAGAAGATATTATTATATGTGACAATACATACCACTCTTATAGTTTAAAAATGTCTAGAAAAATAGGTGCCATAATTTCTTTTTAAATTTAATTTTATTTTTTATCGATTATGCCATTACAGTTGTTCTATTACCCCCCTTTATTCCCCTCCACCCTGCACACCCCTTCCCCTACCATTCCCCCTTTTAGTTTATGACCACGTGTCTCAAGTTCTTTAGATTCTATATTTCCCATACTATTCTTGCCCCCCCATCTATTTTCTATCTACCATCTATGCTACTTATTTTATGTACCTTCTGCCCCCTTCTCCTCCTCCCACTCCCCTGTTGCTAACCCTCCTTGAGATCTTCATTTCTATGTTTCCACTCCTGATCTAGCTGTCCTGTTAGTTTGCTTTCGTTTTAGGTGTGGCTGTTAATAACTGTGAGTTTGCTGTCCTTTTACTGTTCATGTTTTTTTAACTTCTTTTTCTTAGATAAGTCCCTTTAACATTTCATATAATAAGGGCTTGGTGATGATGAACTCCTTGAATTTGATCTTATCTGAGAAGCACTTTATCTGTCCTTCCATTCTAAATGAAAGTTTTGCTGGATAGAGCAATCTTGGATGTAGGTCTTTGGATTTCATGACTTGGAATACCTCTTTCCAGCCCCTTCTTGCCTGTAAGGTCTCTTTTGAGAAATCTGCTGACAGTCTGATGGGAACTCCTTTGTAGGTGACTGTCCCCTTAGCTCTCGCTGCTTCTAGGATTCTCTCCTTCATTTTAATCTTGGCTAATGTAATGATGATGTGCCTTGGTGTGTTTCTTCTTGGGTCCAACTTCTTTGGGACTCTCTGAGCTTCCTGGATTTCCTGGAAGTCTATTTCCTTTGCCAGATTGGGGAAATTCTCTTTTATTATTTGTTCAAATAAGTTTTCCATTGGTGGCTGTTCCTCTTCCCCTTCTGGTATCCCTATAATTCAGATGTTGGAGCGTTTAAAGATGTCCTGGAGGTTCCTAAGCCTCTCCTCATTTCTTTGAATTCTTGCTTCTTCACTCTTTTCTGTTTGGCCATTATTTGCTTTCTTCTGGTCCACTCCATTGATTTGAGTCCCAGTTTCCTTTTCTTCGCTATTGGTTTCTTGTGCAATTCCATTAATTTCAATTAGTTTTGCCTTCATATGTTTCTCTAATTTGTGGCTATAATCAACCAGATCTGTGAGCATCCTGATCACCGGTGTTTTAAACTGTGCATCTGAGAGTTTTGCTATTTCTTCATCACTTAGATTTATAGGCTCTGGGGCTTTGAGATCTTCTTGAGCCATTTTTGGTCTGTTTGCGCCTGTTAAGTTTGACTAGCGGAGCCTTGGACTCCCAGGTCGCTGGGTTGTGATGCTGTATGTGGGGGCGTGGTCAGAGCGGGGGAAATGGTGACCCCCTCTGCTGTTTGTGCCGCTGGGTGAGGAGCAGAGCCTTAGGTGGTTCACTTGGGCAGGGCCACTTAGGTCGCTGGGTTATGACTCTCTATGTAAAGGCGGGGTCAGAGCGGGAAATGGCGGTGCCCTCTGCTGCCGCTCACCGCTGGGGCCTGCTGGGTCCCGTCTAACTGCCCACTCCCTCCCTGGTCTATCTGTGCCGGAATGCATGACCACAGTCAAATCTCAGCCCTGCTCCCTTGCTGGTTCCCCGCAGTTGCTCGCTGGGTTGGTCCACCCGTTGCAACCCTGTGTCTGGGTGCTGCACGCCTGAGTCCATCTGACCGAGTTTCCCTGTGCAACCCTGCTCCTCCAGCTGCTGGTTTCGCCCCTCTTACCGGTCAGGCTGAAGAATTTGTTGTTATCAGACTTCCGAAAAGTTCAATTTTCTGTGTTCTGGTTGTGTTTTCTGTTGCTAATATTTAGTTGACTCTAAACTTGGTTGTGTGAGAAAGCAAGGCGTCTCCACCTATGCCTCCATCTTGGCGGAAGTTGGTGCCATAATTTCTATGAACCATAAGATTCCTTTTGTTTAAGGCTACAATGATGAGGGAAAAAAAGGCATGCCCTAGGTAAGGGCATGGGATACTCCATGAAAGGTAGTAAAGGGTTTTAAAATATCACTGTTTTATGAAGCCTGGCTTTGCCATGCACTACCTGTGTGCCTGGGCGAGTCACTCAGGGTCCACTGTGTAGTTACTGCCTCAGGTGTCCTCTGATAACAGCTACAGTGAGCACTCCCCTAGTATATAAATGAATTGTAGTACATAATACATGTTATGTATAATTGTGCATTAGAAAGATTAAATGAGATAATCCATATAAAGTGCTTAGTATATAACATATGCTCAACAAATGTCATAACAGGTGTTACTAGTACCTCATCATCAATGTCACAATTGATTTTAAAATATAAATTTTATCAAGTTAACTCCTGTGCTTAAAAGCTTCCAAGTGCTTGCCCTTGACATAATCATTAAAACCTTTACCATGTCTCTGAAGGCTCTGCAAGTCTGCTGCTTCCTGGCTCCTCTGTGACATCGCCTTTTCCTTTCCACACTCATTCCTTTCCAGGTGGCTGGTACCTTGCTGATGCTTGAGTGCACTGAGCAGGTGCACTCGCCCTCCCTCTTCCCAGGACACCCCACCCACTGCCTCTGGGCAACTGGCTCCCTCCCTCCAACAGGTCTCAGCCCAAGCATCACCTTCTCTGACCTCACTAAAAAACATCATCCCTCCTCACGCATGCTCCCCTCCCGTCCCCTACTTCCTGTTACCTTTTCCCCCCACAGCCTTTATCAACTCAACAGACTAATTTGTTTAGTCTTTTCTTTATTAAAAAACAACTGAATGTAAGCTCCAGGAAAGAAGCAACTTCACCTGGCTTGGTTTTGGTTGTGCCTTAAACATGGAAATGGCTTACATATGAAATAAGTTATTTTAGCTTAAGAATGTATATATTGGATATAGGTTGCTGAAAAAAGAGAGATACTAGGTTTCCTAAATATAAAACTTTACATTTAAAATATGAACATAGGCTAAAGAAGATTGTGAGGATAAAGTTGTATTCTATATTCTCTAAGTCCAGTATGCTTCATCTAACAAAAAATTATTTCCTTTTTACATTAAAGTGATTTTAGCTTTGGTAACTACACCATTTTAGGTAAAGTTATAGTTATGGCCATCTTTTGCAGTGTAATTTCCGCCCCATCCTCCTAGCAGGAATCTCTGTGAATTAGTCTGGTTCTTAGCCAATCGGATAGAGAGAAGTGACCCATGTCTCTCATAGGCTACACCAAGTTCCCCAAAATGTGAAATAAACTAGCAGTTTGATCCTATCCAGTAAATTTAAATCGTTTGCATGGTCAACAGGAGGAAGATTCTTCCCAGGTCTGAGTGACCTTCCTGAAGCACCTTTGCTGTTCTCTGTCACCAAATGGTTTCTAAGTGGCTGCTTCTGTGCTGTGTTAAGTAAACTAGGGTCAAGTTGTCACTGCATGTAAATTTGGTGACAAGAAATATCCTTTCTGAACGGAATTAAGCATTACCTAAGAATTTGTAATGGCTCTATGAATATGGTGACTTAGGAAAAAAGCCGCATCCAGATATAAAAAGAAGTATTACCAGGAGGCAATGCAAATAGGCCAGCCTCTGAGGGTTCTGGGGAAAAAATCACTCAGGAAAATGAGAACCTAGAAATGTCAGTTTTTCCTAAGTAGAGGGTTTCTGTACAGAGAAAAAAGGTAGCCACCTCCACGGTGTGACCTGGAAGTTCCACCAGCTTGAAATGCATCTTCTGCCACAAAGTGTGAAATTTCTAAGCATGTTATGAATACATTTTAAAGTCTTCAAAATGCTCCAAGCAAAACAAAAATACATTCCTTGGGAGGAACACATTGAGAGACTGGAGCCACATATGCAAATTCTAACACCTCCAACCAACAGGGTAACTCTAGGCCGAGTGCAACGTCCTCATACTCTGACATTTGATCCCAGGCGTTTCAGGACTGGAACCAACTCAGTCTCGGTGCAGGAAGCCAACAGGGTGCGGGCGGGAAACAGGAAGGCCAGGCCCCACGTGAGGGAGGGGAGGCGTTTGCCAGTGTCAGCAGGTCTGCCACCTTTTTCACAGAAGCTACAATTTTTAAATGATGCCTTCAACTTAAAGAAGAATGTTCCAAACACTGGGTAGGACAAACAGCATGTTCCTGTTGGTCACATCTCACTCTGCAAACTCTGACTTAAGCCAGTAGTAGTTATTGACATAATGACACAGGTGGCTTTGTTCTTTCATTCCAGGTGCCAAACCTTATCCTTGGTGCTTGGGATCCCCCAGTGAAAAAAGCAGACAAAGGTCCCTATAGAACTTCCATTCCATTTGG